TCTCTCTCTCTCTCTCTCTCTCTCTCTCTCTCTCTCTCTGTCCGTCAATTTTTCTCAATTTTGTGTATCACTCATACCTGTGCCAACACAACTGCTATCATTGCTAATATTTCACTGACTCTCTTACAGTCTCTCTCTCTCTCTCTCTCTCTCTCAAACAGAAGTGAATGAAACATTAATACACGATATAATAATGTAGATAAAAAATGTTTGTCGCATAAATAACATGGTAATTGCTTTGTAAAGTCCCCAACCGGGGCTTTCCAAACAAAATACCTGTTGATTCACAAATGCATTTCTCTATTATAAAAAACAATTAACTATACGTTGCCATCAGTACAGCCACTGACTATCAGCGCCTGTAGTCATGAAATAATTGTATTTTATTTTTAATTCCCATTCATTTCGATGTGATATTAAAAAACAAATTATTTATTTTTAGCAAAGTTTTCATAAATAGCTTTATTGCGAAATATTGTTATGCAAAACATCTCGTCATTCAATTGAGTTATTAATTGTGTTACAAAAAAATTATTTAATAGATGTTTAATTAAATGATCATTTTGTTTATTATTGTGCGAAATAGGATTTTTTGTTTACAATTTTATTATGTTTTTAAATGTATTTTATAAAAGGTATCATAAGTTTGTGTTTTGTATAAAAGTAAACTAAAAATTTTATATGATTTTGAAAATCGATAAAATTTGTTTTAAAACTTGAAATTATTTATTAAATAACTGATAATTTATTTACATGTTTATTAAATTATTTAATTTACAAAATCTGTGATACAATTGATAAAGAGTTAAAATACATGTTAAATAACTTGTGTCTCATTCTCAAAAGTAATTCAACGATAAAAAGTGTTAATAAAATGAAAAACTAAATCCGATATAAAAAGAAATATGGATTTATTATAGCAAACATCGACAACCTTTACCTCAATTCACAATTCAATATACATTTTGCCAATCAATCAATTAATTTAAAACTATTTCTTTAAACGTGTTTAAAATAAAAGTCATTTATAAATATGTGTTTCAGTGAACACTCAAATCCATAGCCAAAAGCCATAATCGGATCAAACGAGAGATAAATGATTATTAATATAATTTTTTGCGCAAAAATAAGGAGATTTAGTTCATGACTACTCGAGAAACCGTTACATAAATGTAAACCTAATCTTATATCTGATTTTCAAAAAAACTTGTGGTAAAAATTATAATAATAAATACAGCGATGATTGCAATGGTGTGCAGCAGTACAACAATGTTCAAGAAAGCGTTAACACTCTTTGCGGGTCTAATCCACTGTCTCTTACCATCCCTTCATTCACTTCCATCTAATAGTATTGTCAATGATGTTCAGGTAATTGTCCTCATTATACCATTTATTTTCTCCATCCCTACTCCTATTCATTCATTTTATTGTTTAATTATTAATATTGTTTATTAGATTTGTTGTAATTAATATTTTAATTAAAAGTTTTGAGATATTCTTTATGAATATAAGTTTTAATGTTCGTTGAACTGTTATTTTGAGATTTATATAGTTTTACATGTGATTTATACAACTTTTATTTATGATAGTTAGTGTATTTCCATAAATAAAATTTAAATTATTTTTAATAATCATATTAAACAAGTAATTAAAACAATTTAACTCAACCAATTATAAAAATTATTATTTATGGGATAGATTTACCACATTTAATAATGTGAAAAATACAAATACAAATAATTAAAACTCGTAAACCCTGTGTACAGGTAATACCAAAAGGCAATTGTCAGCTAAACTGTACGCAAAACTATTTCGATGAGGGAAAGGACTGTCACGACTCTCGGGGACAATGCAATTGCATAGCGCACTGTTGTCTGGCGTTTGACTGCCGTAATTGGGGAACTCTGGTCCAGTGTCGGCGCAAGTGTAATGTCGTGCCCAACAAGTTTGGCAAACGATCGCATCAAATGAATTGCGAGCAATACCTGTGCGATAAGGACTACTTTGACGGCAGTTGGGACGCCAGGGGTACCGATGAGAAGCAGCGCAATTGTGTGGAGCACTGTTGTTACGCTTTTGATTGTAGAAAAGCATCTGGCTACTGTCGACAAACGTGCGGCATCGATGTATGGGTCACACATAGACCCGGCTAATTGATTAGCTAGGTTAATTTCATTTCCCTCACCCCCCAATACCCAATCTATTGCCATTTTTGCGCCGATTTATGTATAAATAATGATATATTTTTTGTGGCTTCTGTTGTCTCGCAATGACTTTTTAAGACTTGTTTTGTTGTAATAGTTTTTAAAGCCTTAAGTTTTATGGATTTGTTGTGAAGTATTTTTGTTGTGAGAAATAGTGTCATAAAAATTATGTCAGCGAAGAGTTAAACGCTTTTACGTCACATCCAAAGCCTTTTTTATACGAAACCCTTTAACTCTTTTTGGTATTAATATATAGTTTTTTGTGTATATTTTTCTTATCATTTAATTACATGTAAATAGTCTTTCGTTTAGAGAGAAAATAAAAAATGTGTTAATTTTACTCATTTGGTGTTTATTTTGCGCAAACATTGCCTTAACTCTAGATTTTTGATTAAAACTAAAAACTTTTAAACAACTTTCTCATCAATATTTGTTTGTTATGTTATAAACAAATAATTTATTTGATTTCTATATATTTTTATTTCTTATAAAATAAATAGTTATAAATAAGTGAAAACATTTACCATAATAAGTAATGTTGGCAATAATAATAAATACTATAATAGGTTAAAGTGCGTTAAAAATTAGTTTTGATTAATTTTAGTTAATTATATTACGAATCCAATCAATAAAAGCGGGAACTTTGGTGTATAGACCGGGATATCCGGGGCGACCGCACCCGTTGCCCGTCGACACTATGCCCACAACAGTAGCCCTTCCCGTGCGGTCTCTTTGGATTAGAGGGCCTCCAGAGTCACCCTTTGTTATGAATATTAGAAATTAATAAATGTTTTACTATTTACTTTTTAACCAATATAAATAATGGTCCAAACCATACCTGACACGAGTCCTTGCCCTCAGAACCGGCACATATTTCCAGCTCTGGTGAGAAGCCCCGGCCGTACATCTCTTTGCACTGTCTGTTCAATAAAATAATTGATTATTTAATTTTAATTAATTTTTTAAAATTTTATTATTTAAAAGTGTTATATTTAAAATTGTGTTCATGTATTGAAAAATATATTTCCCATTTTTATATATTTCAAAATGTAAAACCAAATTGATGATTGGTTACGTTAAGCCGACAACACAATCATTCATTACTCGGTGATTTTGTGGGTATATTTCAGTGCAAATTAATTAAGATATTCACAAACTCTGTCTAAATATAGACTTTCAATACAGTCGTACTATTGGTACAAAAAGTATGAGTGTAGTTATAAATGAAATCCTGTTTTTATAAATTCCCTGCACTTATGCACACATTTATACACAAAAATTTAAATTGCATTTATCTGATAATGGACGGGGAAAACACTTACTTTGCGGGCACGAGGGGTAACTCAACCGCTTTCAGGTCTATGGAGTCGTCACCGTTTTCCTGTGTTGTGCCCCAACCGGTGGTGATTAGCCTCTTGTTTATTACCATATTCTTATCGGTGGGCAAACAGACAGTGTTTATGGCCAGACCTCTGGCCAGAACTCTGACGGGCTTTTCCAGGGCTATGAGTGCAATATCGTTGAGCCCACGGCGGGACTCGTACTGCGGGTGAAGTATAGCATCGGTTATACGTAAGGTTAGGCTATTGGTGGCCGGAGGGGCGATGGTCTCCGACCCGACGATCACCCGAACCCGTCTCAGTTCGCCAGTCATCGCCTTTCGGGTCTCGCCGTTGAACGCCCTGTAAATCATTTGATTATAATTAGTAAACATGTTATAAATAATAGTTAATTAAATGCAAACAATAGGCTTACCATTCAAGACAGTGAGCGGCTGTCATAACCCATTTGGGATGAATGAGAGAACCGCCGCAAAAATGTGTGGACCCGAAGATGGGTGACCAGCGTTGGAGTGACACCTGCCAGGGATAGTCACTGATAGACACATCCACTCCGCCCACGATTCTTGTGCCACTCATTCGTGTCATATTCGCGGGTAAACCGCATTTTGTCTGATACTGAGTGACCAGATCTCCGCCGTAATCGGCGGTGGATGTGGTAAACAGTGGATATATGGGCCCATCGGGTCCGCCGGTGACGTACGGCCCGTCGGTTACCGGTTGTATAATATTCAGCGAAAACGGTTTGTTTGAGTGATAGAAACCAATTGTTG